ACGGACATTGTCATGTCTTTGTGCAACAAATCCTCCCTTTTTACAAGATAGTGCATGGCTTACCGAAAAGGTTGTCCCACAAGCGCAGGTACTTGGTATAATAATAATGATAATAATAATAATAATAATGATAATAAATCTATTATAAAAAATAGAATCAAGAGTTAAGCAAATGCTTCTCCAAAGAGAAAAGTCTTTATATTTGATTTAAAATTTTCGATTGAGTTTTCAAGTCTTAACGCCACTCTTGTGGAAGTTGATTCCATAACTTTGGAGCAGCGATTTGGAAAATTCGTTCACCATACGATTTTAGGTTACTGTTAGGAACTTTAAGTAGGTTTTTGGAAGAAGACCTTAATTGTCTTGATGGTGTGTAGCGTTGTAGTAGATTAGTCATGTAATCAGGAGCCATAGAGTTAAGTGCTTTAAATGTGAATACTGTAGTAATATTTTGTAAGTAATTCGCTGTTTTAATGGTAGCCAGTGTTGTAGTTCTTCCAATACTGGAGTGATGTGTTGAGATCTCTTAGTCCTTGTAACCAARCGTGCAGCACAATTATGTACATATGGTAGTTTGTCAATTAGATATTGTGGAAGGCCATATAGCAGTGCATTGCAGAAATCAAGCTTAGATGAGACAAAAGCATGAATTAACGTCTCTTTATCACTCRGCGACAAGCAGTTCTTTATCTTTGCGATATTTCTTAAGTGGAAGAAAGCTCCTTTGCAYATGTTACTGACATGTGTCTCCAGAGTAATGTTCTTATCAAATATCGCTCCTAAATTTCGTACAAAGTCAGAGGCTCTGATATTTTCATCGTAGACTCTARTGCTCTCTATACTGGGTGGTGTCCTGTGTTGTGATCCAATATAACCAACAGTTCAGTTTTGTCTCTGTTTAGCTTTCATTTATTTATAAGCATCCATTCATCAATATCCTTGACACAAGCTTCAACTGATGACACGCAAACAGCTTGGTTGTCTGGAAATGGCATGATAAGGGTCATGGCATGATGAGGGTCTTTGAGACTCTTTTGAACTATAAGAGACTAAGCTGGTATCTTTTAGGGTGTTTTTTTTCCCGCTGCCATAGCTTCAATAATTTAATTAATGCTATCCCAGACTGAAAGATGTTAGATCTGACGTTTTTGAGTTACAGATTTTAGGGGRAAAAATCATGTGGTTTCACGCCCTTGTGGTAAGAATCAGGTTCCTTTTTAGGGGTCATTTTCGAAAATTCAGACGAGCATCCGTGCCCTTTTTGGGTCAAAGTCTCTTACTCCCCCCCCCCTCCCCCCCTCAGTAAAACAAATTCAAACGATCACGCGAGGAAAACACAGATTACAACTACTGAGCTATTTATTCACTATTGGTACAGACAGTTTTCAAGCAAGCTTTATTTCTAATTACTGAACTATTTATTCATATTTTTACAGGCAGTTTTCAAGCAAACTTTATCTCTTCGCAAATAATTGTCTTTTTTCCAGGAGTTTTTTCTCCCTACAAGCTAAGGACCAGGATAATGAAGCGGTTAAACTGCGATTGGTACTTAATATAGCTTTGATTTGCCTCATCTGAGGATGTACCTTTAAGGGCTGATTTTTGAGTAGGATGAGTAAGAAAAACTAGAATTATTATATAATCATCATGGTTGCTTATCTCATTTGCATTAAGAGTAACATCAATATGTAGAAACTGATAAGGGTTTTGGTCTTAGTTCGCAGGTTTTTTCTTTAATTTCTTGCAAAACAAAGAAAAAACCTTTATTTTACTCATAGGGAGAAKAAGAATACATAAAAACATTTAGTACTAGCTAGAAATCTATCTACAATCATGCAGGATATATATATATTTTTATTTACAAAGAAAAAAAAAAATAGATACTAGAATTAGTGTTTAAGCCTAAGGGTAAAGTTAACCATAAGTGTTCTAGTTAACCCCCAGCCATTTTACGTTGTTTTTTTATTTTTATTTTATTTATATGCATATACGTTTCCATTTTTCCCCTTAGCCGTTTCTACTTTTATTTAGTTTAACAATGCTTTTTACTGTAATCATGTTAATATTTTTTTAAGATTGTTCTTCCGTAAATATCGCCTTTGCATCAGTGTTTCTATATACTAAAGTATATTACAAAAATCGATTATCCTTTTTAGAGAGTCCTTCAATTTTATAATTACACTTTAGTTATTGAAGAAAATTGGTCAAAGGGACGTATGATGCCTCCTTCATCAAGTTTWATTGTAAGCAAAAAATCGTACCACGTTCTAGTAATTAACGGGTACTCGTAATGCCTTGACGCACGTTTAAATTGTTCTCGCCTAAAGGCTTTTACAAACACAAACACTTTTATTAAGAGCACGAGCTCTTGCGATTTCCTATACTAATAATTTTTTAACAGCAACTTATCTTTTGATATATTTTAAGGTAAGGTGTTTTAGTTTCTCATATAGAAAGCGGAACAGTACATGATTTTTGTGCATGTTCTTCGTATCATGTTCTCCCATCTTTTTTGTTCATCTCAGAGTTCATAATAATTCTGTTCATCTTTACCAAWTTTTAAATTACTCAGCAAATCACATTCTCTTGAAATTCTTTGCTCGGAATTCCTCTCAAAAGATACCTCTGTACGATTTCCTTTCTCAAAGTTATTCTCGAAATTCCTCGATGTTCTTTYTTGATTGTTCGTGAGGGTTTTCCATTGTTGCAGTTGTTTACTTTTTCTTATTATAATTCTCGTCCTCCTTCTAAAGACCAAACTTTAACTGTATTTTTTGTTTGTTTGCTTTTGTGTTTTTCTTTTCTTTTCTTTTTTTTTTTTTTCTTGTTGTTGTTGTTTTTTGTTTTTTTGTTTTTTTACTTAACATTTTTTCCTTTCGAATAAGCATTGCTACATTTTTCGTTAATTTATTTTTCAACATGTACGTTATTTCTCACTTTCTTCCTAAGAGAGCGGATAGTTTCCTTCATCGCCTCGCGAAAATCCATTAAAAACGTGAAATAAATTATTGGCGAACACGAAAAATTCAGATAGAARAGAAAATCGATACAGAAGAAGAAATCTTTGGTGACGCAATAATCGAACTCAAAGACATTGAGGTGATCGAGAAATCGTAGACAGCTTCTCGGGCCCCAGCAAACGACGAACAGCACTGAACAGCATGTGATCATGCGTACGGCTCGTACGAACTTGATCTCTCTTTTCTTCTTTTGTGAATCGGAAAGCTGAATTGCTCGCTGRGTCTTTTTAAGCTTCTTCATGATCGCTATGTCAAGAAAGACGAGGGTGAAGAACATCACGACAACGATAACGTARAATACAAAGTAGTAAAGAACCCAGCCGTTTTTATCTAAATAGAGATCAATGCAGTACAATTCGTCTCTGAATGACATTACATCAAAGGCGTAGAGWGTGTAGCTGTACAAGGCAATAGGAATCAACCATGTCAAACTTAGCAGGGAACAGAAAAGCAACCTYCCTGCAGGTTGTACTCTGGTGGGGCTTGACACGGCTCGAAGGCGMTCGACRGATATTGCGATCAATGTCGTCAGCGAYACAATAGGCGCCACAAATCGAAGCAGAGTGCCRATTTTGCAAGTTACAGTCCCTAACGCTCCTCCTATCTTCCATGATCGAGAGTTAGAGAAAAGAATATTCAACCATTCTCTTAGGCCAAGTGCCATGACCAACATGTCGGCTACGGCCATGTTAACGATCATGTACCACATGTCYTTGTGAAGCTTCTTGGACTTGTAGACCAARAAAATAACAAAYGAATTCCAAAAGATACACAATAAAAATATAAAGATGAAAGCYACGACTTTGGTGATCCACTCTGATTGTGCGCCTTGGACAAGTTCATCGCATTCGCCAATTCGTAACCCAGAGGGAGAACTCTTTGCCATGTTGTCTGCTTTGCTAGTCAGATTGGTAAAGTTTTCGATTAAGTTTCCCATTCTTTTCTATTGCATCTGACTTGTTAGCTAAGCTCTGTCTACAWACAAAGAGACATCCTGTTTAATCTAAATAATTAATGTAAAAAGACACTCAAGCAATTTACTTCATATCCATTTTTAACACAAGGGGAAAAACTCATTACCGTCGTATGATAAAGTGCGTCTGCATTCTCGATTGGTGATATTCAATTACTAAGCACCAAGGCTTCTTATTGTTTAATCAATATCGATGCACCGTTTCACTTTTGTAGAACAAAATAATAACTCCATAGCCCAGAATRACATTAAGGTTTATTCTCAGTGTGAGTGCTCAATTTTTTTACCCCTGGTTATGTCATCAGTTATGTATGTTAATCGAAGTATTATGATCATCCTGGTGGATGTGGTCCTGAAAAGGACTGTTTGATGTGACTGTCATCAATTATACTGGTACTTGAAAGAGGAAGAAACGAGTTAAAAGAAAAGAAAACCTTTTAATAGACAAAAAATAAGGCGGAGGAAAACCGAATCCAAAAATAAATATAACAGTTGGCAGTTAAAGCAAGTTTTGACGCTAACAGAGGAGACAAAAGAAAAATAAAGTAAAAAGTATGATGCAGGCACCGATGCCAAAGATGATGTTGTCGATTATGATAATTGATGGAAAAAATGTCATAATAATACCACCTAGCGAAAAAGAGGTTGATATAAAAGATATATAGATAGAGGAAGTCAAACCGCCCTGTGACGAACTCGTGGATACTAGTTGCACTTTTCAGAGATTGGGCTCCCTGTGCCCTAAGGATTCGCTCGATTTAACATTTTAAATGCTCAATTAAGCTGGTAAGATGAGAAAATGTCTCTGTATTATTCTTTTAAGACCTCACTAGATACACCGTGCTGACGAGGCCTAATACAGGCCGAAACAGCTGTCCACAGTTTCTAGTTGAGCTAGACTGGCTCATTTTTTACGCAACTTGAAGTTGTGAAAAGCTTGTATGGCAATCTTCTTCAGTCGTTTCATCCAAGGCTCGTAATTTACCTATTACGCATGTTCTTATTTGATATCCGAACCCATCCCAAACGGATTACTGCCTCATCTATCTTTTAACACCTACTCTGTCTAGTTCTTTGTTATTTTGTTGAGTTTGCAAGCCAATTCTGTGATGAATTAATTGTCTGAACTTCAATTACGAAAGACGTCTTCGACTTGGATGGAGTCAACTGAGTCACGGTATAGAGCAAAATTTACTTTTTATTAAATCATCTGGCTTTATACAAATGAGTTTAGGAACACACTTGCTCAGCGTTGGCTGTTCCTTCGATTATCAACGAGTCAATTTTAAATTTTCGGAAAAAAATGCGTCGCTGATAGCGGACGCTATTCCTTAAGGACTAACTTTCATATATAAACCCAAAATGATCAATCTCAAAATTTGGAACGGCGGGTCGCGAAACGACGATTTTCGTTGTAAAATTCAATATTATTTGATGCTTATGATATCGTAAAAATTTAGTATTTGAAGATCTATAAGAACTCATCTTTAACTGAAAAGACGATAATGAAAAAGATCATGGTCATTTGATATAAACATTTGATATATAAAAGTTTTCAACGAACCTAGGAATTACCTATAAGGTTACAAGAAACCTTTCTTTCTTTCTTTCTCTCTCTCTCTCTCTCTCTCTCTCTCTCTCTCTCTCTCTCTCTCTCTCTCTCTCTCTCTTTCTTTCTTTCTTTCTTTCTAATTTTTTGCCTGTTTTTCTTTCATTTTTTTGGCCTGTTCCTTTATAGTTCCATTTTCGCCCATTTCCTTATCTATACCTACAAGCAACAACAACGATATATAAAAGTGCTGCTCGATGGTTTTTTTCTATCAAATAATGTCCACCAGGCAATTATAAATGAAGACTTATATTATCGCAACACTACACTGACAGCCAATACAGCTGTATAAATGGATAATTTCTCGCTTCTTTTTCCCCTCGGTCTTGCGCGATTCTCAGCTATAGTGTTTCAAGGCGTTCGCGAGAAGTGTTTGCTCAGTCTATTCCTCTCTTGCTCGACTCTTAAGACAGAGTTCTCTCCTGACAAACTAAAGTCGCGCGTTTATCACGTCTACAAATGTCTACAAATACAAACTTGTTTACTTTGTTTCTCATTCACTGATAAAAAAGTTCACTTGCCCTTACCTTCAGTTGAACCAAGCCACAATACGATTTCTATTGTCTGTATTTAAACATGAACAATTGTCATATACTAGTTCTGGTCATCAATATTCGTCTATTTATTGCAACTACAGCGAAGCCACCTTGTCTGTCCCTCACTTTTTTTTTTCCTCCAAGATCTTCATCAGATTGAAGTAATTAATACGACGGAACCCCAACCAGTCTCTACAAGATCAAAACCTGCTTTTTTCCAAACGCATTTTAACTTGCTTAGTTTTTGCGTGGGTGGAAAATAAATCATCTACACTTCAGGTAATGTTTGACCCGAATAAGCGTTTGACTTGATAAGCAGGTTTTAAAGGATGTTTAAATTTGAAAAATTGGCGTTTGCCTTTTTTTCGTTTTACAATTCATTTGTCATTTCATTTTATTTTATGATTATTTTATGCCTCCGGGTCTAATCAAAACCAGTTGTTACCAATATCTATGAAAACGTTTTGACTAGTTAATGCTCCATAAAGGAAGTTGTTTTGTCTCGGTGTTAAAACATTTTTAGCAAATACGATCTTCGTGTATTATTTTTGTCTCTACGTCAGTGATCGTTAATCAGTGGTCATTAATTTGCTCGCATCCAGGGAGCAAATGAGAGAGAAATGAAAAATCATTTTCTGGAATTAAAGGTCACCTCTTTGGCTTCCTCTTTCTTATTTGGGCCACCTCGTTAGCGATACGACGGATTAAACATAYACCGAGAAATTAGCTTCAATATTAAAGTAAAATGTTTGTCAAAGTTCGGAATTGTAGCTAGRAAACATACTATTATTTATTTTGTCAACGAGATGAGTATAAACCTGTCAAAATGGGAACCAATATATCGTGGTTATCAAAAAAGTGTTTGTRTAAGAGCTATAGGCAAAAAAACGACAAGGAATGCAAAAAGATGGGTATCAAGATATTTTTTCAACAGTTTCAGTATTATTTGATATATTGGAAWGTCTCCACCCATGCACTGGTTGGAATTTTATCATTTAAAAGAATAAAATAAGACAAGGTCGCCTACAATTTAGTTGCACACAGTATCATTTCTCATAAACATCCATGATCCTATGGTTCATACTTTGAAAGAAAAAAATTCCAAAGGTTAGGAAAAGTGCTATACCGCAGAATGAACAATAGTTCTTACTATTGTATCTTAAAAGATTTTGTTCAACCGCAAAAACTAAACGAACTTGACACGCGAGCGGTTTACATACCTTATCATMCCCCGCTGTTAATACAGTCTTCCTTGATGTCGTGGTTAAAAAATTTCGTCTCACAAGTTGGCCTACTTTGGCGCCTTATAGAYACAGCAATGATCAGTGGATCCGAATAGATAAAAAAAGGGAAAAAACAACCGTGGAATGCTTTGGAAAGGTTGTAATTTTGAAAGGAGTGCGGGTCTTTAAATTGAAGCGGCTATTGCTTTTAGACTTCAAAGAGCGATGGTGGTATTGATAGGAGATAGGGATGATTTGGTGTTTAAACGCAGTGAGTCAGAGTGCTATTTAAACTGGTTTCCAAGAATAACAGAGTATCTGTAGAGTAAATATTAGACCCTTTCTTCTTCTTCTTCTTTTTTTTTTTTTTTTTTTTAACAACAAAAGTTTTAAAAACATGTTTTTTTAAATATTTCAAATGCGTAAAAATAAGGCACGGTGAGATTTTATAGAAGAGTCTATAAAGCGACTTTTTTAAATAAAAGAGGCTTACATCCATGACATTGTGAGGTTTCTTTCTTTTCACCATTTTATGTTTTATTTTTGAATTCATTGTACACTTGTAATAATAAGCTTTAAAGTAAAGCACACCCACAGAGTCACAATAATCTTCAAGAAAATAGACTTAAGACGTGATCACAAGGTGCCATTTTCTTTGCAACGACGTTGCGACACAAGTTGCATGGAGCATTGCAGCGTGCAACCTACAGCGCAATTTGGAAAATGTTGCAAAGCAAGTTGCAGCAATTGTCGTGAAAAGTAGAATTCGTTTCGACTTTTGGCAACGATTCTCCGTTGCACCGTGTGTAACACTCTTGCAACTTGTTTCGCAACGCTGTTACGACGAGACACGAAGTTGCAGAGAAAATTGCTTTGAGGAATCGTGTCTTTCGCAACTAGAATTCCAGACAATTATTTTTCTTTTCTTTTTTCCTGCACTCCTGCTGCTTAGAAGCGAAAAGAAAATCAATTAAAAACCAACATTGATTAACGTATAATCATGCAAAAAACCTCACGATAAGACTAATGTACAAAGATCGTATTTACAAGGCAAGGATAAAAGAGTAAACGCCGGAAGAAAACAAGTCCTTAATTTATCAAGAAAATAATTAAAACGTTTTCATAGATATTGGGAAAGATTGGTTTTAATTAGAATAATTAAAGAGAAAGACAAATTAATTATAAAACGAAAGTCTACTTGACCACTTTCAAATTACAAATATTCATAGTGCTCTATATATTTATAGATATTTTGACTTTTTCTCGCCGTTGCTTTTGTAAAATCGAAGACGCTTTGCTTGCTTCCATCTGGCTACCTATTACAAATGCTGAATATCTCAGTAAGTGTCGATCAGTCAGTTTTGAGATATTCCACTCACCATATCCCCATAGAGATGAGTCCGATTAAATAAAAACGTTGCAGGRAAAAAAAACTGCTCTTAAGCGATTTTTAATTAATGTTCTACGACCTCTTGCTTTAAGCAGAGTCTCAATTATTTTATAAAAATATAATATCTATTGATTGCTTTTTATCTCGTAATTAAAGGTTTTATCCGCTATTCAAATTTCAAAAACCCACGATACGGCGACCAATTTAATTTTTAGTGATTTGTACACGCGACGTATCGCTAATGCTTTTTGCGCATCCTGTAGTTTGACCCTGACTCTTTCTCTACTAGGTGCTTTTGAAAACGCCATATTGAATTTGTCCTCTGGCAAAACTCAATCTCGAAGGTTTTGGTGATTTCGATTTTAAATCATGCCCGCAAGCGGTTATGCTTTGAAAATCAACTCGATGTATAAATGTATATGCGGCGTGTTTGAGTGAATGATATTGCTATACTCAGTAACCATTTCCGGCTGATTGACAGAAAAACATCAAGTACGTTGAGCTGGGGATATGACTTACTTGTTAAATTAGTGCACTGCCGGCGGACAAACAAGTAGCGTAAGTTCTACACTACTGTTCCTGATGTTGTATCATTTTTTKGGAGTTATAATTATACCCTAGCAACGATTTTCAGGAGATTCCAACAAGGACAGCGCGCAGTGTTCATTTTGGAGGGCAGATTCTTGCCAAAGAAAGCTGATGCAAAATATTTATGTAGAAACCAAAATCATATGCGCTTTTGGTGTTCGTGTTGTGCATATTATACTGCTTCCTTATCACTATGATTGCTAGCTCGTTGTTGCTGCTGCATTTTGTTGTTCTGGCTGTGATCGAATCTGTTTCTTCTGTCATTGTTGACTGCTTTGACTTTTTCGTTGCTGATTGATGCTGTTATTAATTCAGGGGCAGTAAGGGGTATTTCCGCGAAATCGTGATCACATTTTAATTTTTAATTTTCGTGATCTGTGTTTAGAAAATATCATTTAATGATTATTCGCCGAAGGCGAAGTGAATACGGGGAATATTTACCTAGACGCGATTCTTCGAGCGGCAAGGTAAATATTCTCCGATATTCACTGAGGCTGAGGCAAATAATTGTTTTAGTATAAATACACAGGTGACTCTTTCAAAAAAAGAAAAAATATGATGTGACCCGTGTGATTCATGATACATTGTGGACGAGGGGGTTCTGCTTGTTCAACATGAGGGGCATCCATCTGTAAAAGACGCCAAACCAAAAACACAAAAAACAAAAATAAAGAAAGAAAAAAAAAACTATAACAGCACATTCTGTCAACATCTTAAATTTTCAATCAGGATTCATATTATCATCGATAACATTTGTTTGTCTCTGACTAAATTATAGTTAAATAGACGTTTCGACCTTGATCAGTAACAGCGCATGCTTTTTACACATTTTCAAGCCTATTGGAAAATATACTTTTTACAACAACTCACGTAAATAACACATTCTGATTGGCTGAGAGCTATGATCACTAAGAGGACAGACACATGGATGACGTAATGTTTTTGAAAACAAGACTCGCCTGTAGGATTTTATCGTAAGGACTGTGATTTTGCGAATTTATTTTGCTAATAAAAGTCGACAATGGAACCAGAAGAGGAACCAAACTTTGAATTTAATCTTGCTGATAGTCTTGCCGACGAATATTTAGTTCTGGAGGCAGAAAAGATAGAGGAAGACGTNGCTAATAGCCTTGATCAGCAAAAGCGCATCCTTTTTATACATTTTCAAGCCTATTGGAAAATTAATTTTTTTTTCTTAGATTTTCCCAAAGTTTTAACGTATTATTATTTACTGATATTTTACGTATTATTGTTATTATTATTTATTTATTTTTACATTTTTACACTTCATTTTTACAGAGTAAGGTTGTTATGCAACCTCCAAACTGGAAGCATTATGTGCATTTTGACGCGATAAAGTATAAGTTGATAAGCTATMAGTTGATGATCGATTACTGGCGTTTTTCAGGCTATCGCTGAAGTATAAGCAGCATTCTTCAGTTTTTTTTGTTTGCTAATTTTTCTCTTATCTTTCTGGTTGATCTTTACTAAATTCTAAATTCCTCTCTTGCTTCGTTTTATATATATTTTCCATAATTTTTGCTCATTTGTTTGGGTTTGCGATCTTGGTCTTGTAATTTCAGTCTTTCTTCCAAATATATCAGTTTTYCTTCCGATTCTCCTTTTTTAAAGAAGTTTCTGTCATTTGTTGACTCAAAATGTATTTATATTCAAAATGTACATAATACCTTTTGAATCAAATTTTCTTTTTATACTCACTACTCTATTTGGTTCTTTTTGCTTTCTTTTTTTCTTCTTTTTTCTTTTCCTTATTTGTTTAGATTTTCTTTGTTCTTCTTCTTATGACATTTTCTTTTCAATTGCCAACTTTTTTGTCATCATTTCTYCCTAAGAGAGCGGATAGTTTCCTTCATGGCATCGCGAAAATCCTTTAAAAACGTAAAATAAACTATTGGCGAAGACGAAAAATTCAAATAGAAAAGAAAATCGATACAGAAAAAGAAATCTTTGGTGACACAATAATCGAACTCAAAGACATTGAGGTGATCGAGAAATCGTAGACAGCTTCTCGGGCCCCAGCAAACGACAAACAGCACTGAACAGCATGTGATCATGCGTACGGCTCGTACGAACTTGATCTCTCTTTTCTTCTTTTGTGAATCAGAAAGCTGAATTGCTCGCTGGGTCTTGTACAGCTTCTTCATAATCGCTATGTCGAGAAAGACGAGGGTGAAGAACATCACGACAACGATAACGTAAAATACAAAGTAGTAAAGAACCCAGCCGTTTTTATCTAAATAGAGATCAATGCAGTACAATTCGTCTCTGAATGATATTACATCAAAGGCRTAGAGAGTGTAGCTGTACAAGGCAATAGGAATCAACCATGTCAAACTTAGCAGGGAACAGAAAAGCAATTTTCCTGCAGGTTGTACCCTGGTGGGGCTTGACACGGCTCGAAGGCGCTCGACAGATATTGCGATCAATGTCGTCAGCGAYACAATAGGCGCCACAAATCGAAACAGAGTGACGATTTTGCAAGTTACAGTCCCTAACGCTCCTCCTATCTTCCATGATCGAGAGTTRGAGAGAAGAATACTCATCCATTCTCTTAAGCCAAGTGACATGACCAACATGTCGGCTACGGCCATGTTAACGACCAAGTARCACATGTCCTTGTGAAGCCTTTTTGACTTGTAKATCAAGAAAATAACAAWTGAATTCCAAAAGATACACAATAAAAATATAAWGATGAAGGCCACGACTTTGGTGATCCACTCTGATTGTGCGCCTTGGACAAGTTCATCGCATTCGCCAATTCGCAACCCAGAGGGAGAACTCTTTGCCATGATGTTGTCTGTTTTGCTAGTCAGATTGGTATATTTTTCGATAATATTTCCCATTCGTTTCTATTGCATCTGACTTGTTAGCTAAGCTCGATCTGTGAACAAAGAGACATCCTGTTTAATCTAAATAATTCATGAACAAAAACACTCAAGCAATTTACTTCATATCCATTTTTAACACTAAGGGAAAAACTCATTACCATCGTATGATATAGTGCGCGGACTGCATTCTCGATTGGTGATATTCAATAACCAAGCACCAAGGCTTCTTATTGTTAGATTCAAAACATAAATTCTATAGATCTACATAGGGTTTCATTTAGCAATAACGTCATAGCCCGCAATAGCATCAACGCTTAATATCAGTGTGAAAAAAAGAAGAAAAATATAGGTAAAAGACATAGATGATGATGATGATGATAATTCAATGACAAAGTAGATGAAAAATATGATGATAGGGGCCAACGAAGATAAATAAAAATAAAGGAAAGATTTTTAAAAGAAGAAGGTCATAAAGAAGGGATATTTAGACGATGATGGTGTTGGGCCGGTTGAGTAAGACAACAAACATACCTTCAATTCTGCCTCTATCCTTCCTTAGTTTGAAAAAAAAACTAATAATAAATGGACAAGCAGCAAATTAATTAAATCTTAAGTAATTTCGAGGGTCACGAGTTTATTAGTATTGTATTTTTACCCTCTATCTACTATCTATAGCTCGATGTAAAACCCTTCAACAACCTAAGTCACATATAATTACCGTGAACCTTTACTTTCYCCTTTTGTTTTCTTTCTTGCTTGCTTACCGCCACAATAACATTTAAAAGTGTTCTAGTGTTCAATAAGTCTTATATACTGTAGACTCACTGTCGGAGCAAAACATTGGTCACTTTCTCAATGACCGTGACTCTTTCTTGTTTGGAGAGTTTTCTCTCTCGACTAATGTCTTTCTTATTCCTTTCTTTTTYTCTTTCCTTTCTCCTTGTCTTTCTCAACTCGTTATTGTGCAATTCTCAAGCCTAATATTTCAAGTCTAATACTCAAGTCATTCGACGTGTTTATTTCCTGACTTTCTTGACTTCCTTTTTAAGGCGTCATCAACAGAATTCTCTCCTGACAAACTAAAGTCTCGAATTTATCACGTCTATAAATACAAACTCCAATGGATTTTCTTTTCCTTTTTTATTTAATCACTGGTATGAAGGTCCACTAATAAATAATTGGCATTGCTCTCACCTTCAGTTGAACCTAACCACAAATAGGATTTCCATCGTCTGTATTTAGACATTAGCTTGATCGTTAGCTGTCATGCAAAAATTCTGGCCCTCAATTGGTCATCAATATTCTTTTATATGTTGCCTGAAATCAAGCTCTGAGGATTGACTACTGCGAGGCAAGGTTATCTCTTAAACTAATCTATCAGTTTATCCTCTGCCCAGAGGAGGAGAGTCCTCTGCCAGAGGTGGATACACTAGTATCCCAGAATGCTTTGCGAACTGGTTTGACATGTGAAGAAGTAAACATGGCGTCGCTATCAACTGTTTCTCAGAATCTCGCAGAGAGCCWCCAAAATTCAACATTAATTTACATTCACTCTGATCCTCTCCAAAATCTTGAACGGATTCAAATACTTGGATGCGACAAAAACGTAACAAGTCTCTACAAAATCTGGCAAAACCTGCTTTTTAAACCTGTTTTTTTTTTCTCTCTCTCTGTTAATTTTTGCGTGGGTAAAAAAATCATTCGCGCCTTATTAAGGAGGAAATGCTTGTCCAGAATGAGCATTTGAATTGACAATTAAGCATGTTTTGAGAAACATTTTTGCTATTYTATGATAAATTTATTTGCTGATCAATTTTCAAAGGCATGGATTGTTCCTTCATTGTCATTCCCCGATTAATCTTATACCCTCGGGTCTAATTAAACTCAATCTTGACCAATATCAATAAAAACGTATTGACTAATTGATTTATAAAGGAATTGTTTAGTCCCGGTGTTAAAACTTTCTAGTAAATACGATTTTCGTGCATCATAGTATTATCACTACTTTTTTATGGTCGTTAATCAATGTTGGTTTTAATTAAAATCTTATCTCAGAGAAACAGCAAGAGTGGAAAAAATATCCTCAAATTTCCGTTGCTAAATAAAGTGTAGGGCATCTGCTTTTTTTTTTCTTGTTTAGCCCAATTCGTTTAGCCCACCTCAAGAGGTTGACAATTTTTGTGAGCTTGTTGGAGTGCCAGAGAACTTTACCCCTGGGCTCCCGAGAATGGCGGGTATGCTAATAGTAACAGAGTATATTATTACAAGTGTAAAATAAATTTAAAAAATAAAAACATTAAATTCAGGCACAAAAATTAATTAGCACGAAGATATCATACCTACGGTTAGACTATACTATATCCATCAACTTATCTTATAGAGAAAAAATATCGCTCTGGGATCCTCACGATTACCCTACATTTCATATTCTGGCTGCGTTCCCAGCGTGGTTGGTCCTTGTAGTGTAGTGGTTAATACATCGGACTAGAATACCGAAGACGTGGGTTCGAATCCTGCCAAGGGCATTTGATATTTTTCTCTTATTCTCTCTATATCCATTTAAGTTAATTCAGTTGCAATAAGGTTATAGATAATGTCAAAAACTCGATATTCACTACTCTGGGATGTATTTTTAAAAACTAGCAATATGATTAAACATACAAGAATATATTGAGGTTTATTTAATATTTTCGCGTAATTTTTTTTGACACATGAAAAACATCAGAATTGTCGCGAAGTGCGAAGTGCCGAACTTAATTAGAGCAAACGTGTCAAACTGCCCTATATATCGATCTCGGTTATCAAGAAGRTGTCTAAGAGGTACTCAAACAAAACGACATGGAATACAGACAGATGAGTATTGAGATCCTCGTTTATCACAGTGGTTTATGACTCGACCAACTGGGTGTTATTTTATTTCTAAGAACCAGACAAACGCCGCCTGCAAACTTAGTTGAATCAATTTGTGTTTTACTTATGAGAAAATTATAAATATCCAAATGTCAGGAAACATGGTATGCCGCAGTAAAATGGACGGTACTTTACTTTTCCTTTTTAGATGATTCTGCTCCACCTCAAAAACCACATGACCAATTGTCCTTGACAGGCAGTTAGATAACTTATCATTTCCTACTGTCAATATCTTCCGTAATTTCGTGGTTAAGATTTTCGTCGCAGTAGTTGGCCTATTTTGGCGCCGTATAAACACGGCAATGATCAGGCGATCAATAGATGACGAAAAGGGTTTTAAAAAGCGTAAAATGCTTTAGAATGGTTATAATTTTTAAAGGAGTGCGAGTTGCTCTAAATTGAAGCAGTTATATCGTGCAAGGATGCAATTTGTTTTATAAAGCTCTGGACTATACCGTTTGGCATAGTTCTGAGATTATTACTAATTACACGAGAAAAATATTTTGATCAATAATTTAGAACAAGTTAATAAGAATCCGTAAGTCATCAACAACAGCCGCAACAACGACATCAATAACAGAAGCTGAAGCAGGCAGCTACATTATTACCCATAACACCAGCAACAATAGCAACAGCACTGAATGCAACAATATAGCATTATGATCAGGGTCAGCCAATCAGTATCTAGCAACAACGGCCGATCAACAAAACAACAAAGTGCCGCAACAGCAATGACAGAAGCTGAAGCAGACAATTGCAATAACATCCAAARCATCCTCGCAACAATAACAACAGCAATATCAGCAATATCATCAGGGTAGATCACTGCAGTCAACAACAAACGCATGCAGTATCAACAAAACAGTAATTGAAATGCAATAACGGCAACAGCAATAACAAAGCTGAAGGGAAGAATCAGTATGCCACGATAACGACATCAATCTGCAAACCTGCATGCAATCTGCAAAGACAACAGCAAGCAGCAGCAAAATCAGCAATAACAGAAGCAACAATCAAATGCAGCAGCAACAACAAGCAGTCAGAGTAACTAGAAAGGGAAAAATAAAAAGAACCAGAAACAGCAATAAGCACAACTCCAGTGCAAAAACGAAATTTACGATTTTGATTGGCTATAAAATCATACTCATCAAAAACTGCGAGATTTACTTTTCGGCAGCCAGACCAAGAATAATGAAAATATGGAGGGAAAGTAAAGAAAAGAAATGATAGCGAGAACATGTTAAAACGAAAAATTAAAGGCAGCAAGAGAGGTGGAAAGAACATCTGTGTCAAACTTTAAAAAACTCATTAATAATTCATGAAGGAAACAATAGAAATCATGACCATGAAGGAGGTTTATTATCTGATGTAGATTCGTCTTCATTTACATAAACTTTAACTTGGATTTTYTCTATCAAACTTGGTTCATTTCGTAAAGAATTCGGTATAGTATGAGAACAAACATCATCGGTTTTTTAAACCGTTTAATAAACTCGCAGATCGTGTTTTATCAGGTCTAAAAACACTCGGCTACGCCTCTTGTTTTCAAATCCTGATAAAACACTCCTGTTCGTTTATTAAACAGTACATGATAAATCCCCGAATATCGAGTTAGTCTCAAAAAGAATTAGCAAAACGAGCGCGTACAAATTATTAAACATTGAACTGATCGACGTATCTTGACGTTCTTAGAAATCCAATGCTGGATTACTTATTTAATTGGGAGATAAGAGCAATCATTTTATCTTTTAAAAATGAGTACTTGGACTTCTGTGGAAGCACGAGGTCGGAGAACATTACTATTCAATCGCTTTAAGAGCATTTTTTTAAATGTATTAATGCTTTTATTTTTAAAATGGGACTTATCTCTAAGAGGATATAATGAGTGGAATATCTGAAAACTGATGACCAATGACTGATGGTCGTTTTTTTCTCGAGATATCCAGCATTTCTAAGCAGGCAGGTGAAACTTGATCTATTTCGTCTTTGATGGTACAACAGCGATAGTKCAAGCAAAAAAGACAAACTGTCGAGCGATATGTACTTGTATATTTCGACATAAAAATTTATGAACTTATGATTTAATTAAGTGTTCATTTTTATTGAAGGTAATTCAAATTTCTATACATGATGCACATTAGTAATCAATTAGTCGCTCAAGCTAGTGATAAATCTTATCTTACATGTTCCAAGCCAACTGACTAGATCAAATACTCCAAGTTTAGTTTCACTTCAGTAGAATAATCAGCAGGTAAGCAGTAAACAAAACTGCTTTGGCGACGTCTGTAAACTAATGAAGCCTACGCGTGTATAGCTTTTGTTTTATGAATAAGTTTTTCAAAGTTTGCTTTTAAAAAGTATAATCGGATTACCCAAAAAAATTGACTGCCATTGAAAATTAGGTATGATTGAAATCGAAGATTGCATTGAAAATAGACAGCAACTTTTTTCTGAAGGTCGCGTGCGCATCCAACTTGACGRGCCACAAAACTGAAAAACGCAAATTCATTAAAATTGAGAAGGCAGTTTTTTATTTAAAGAGGAGAATAATTGATTTTATGAATCCTTACCGAACAAGACTAACTGGAGACTGAAAGCCGTATTTTCCTTTAGGCTCTACTAACCCACGCGATTGAAGCCAGAATACTGCCGACTGAGTAGATGTACTAAATACTAATAAATATCTGAATTACGATTCTAAAAATCTTCTTTTATTTCCAATTATATTACTTCTAAAGCCCGGAATTACATCCTCAGCTGCTAAGCCAATCTATAAGCCCAGAATCTATGAACACGTCATTCAAATATATGAGTACGCAAGAATGCACTTATCCGTGAGAAGGAGACGACAAAAAAAACATTTTACGACTGGGCTGCCACAGGCAATCTAGTAAAAAGATTTCATAGCAATGCATGATAATACTCGTGTTCTGGTATTGTGGCCCTTCAAAGTACTTAAATTTGGATGCGCACGCAACTTTGAGAAAATGGTCCATAGATGATTTTCGTGATGCGCGAGCGCTTTCWTAAATATCGCAGGCAGACATGACATCTCGGCCACTATTCTTAAGAAACCTTTGGAACTATAGTGTAAAATAGGCAATATCATGGGCTATGAGTCAATAGCCTGAGGCCGAACGCCGAAGAACTAGAAACCTAATTAAAAACAAGAAAAGAAAAGAAACCTTAGAAGATCAGTCTAGAAACCTTTATGAAAAGATTTTGTCCGAAGTGAGCTACATTTTTTTCAAAAATTTATAATCCTGCATTTAACCTAAAAGAAACTTCAAAATATGCATTTATTAACTTGTTTTTAAAGTTTTGTTTGAGATTACCACAAACAGCGTGTTTTCACTCAGTCCCTAGAAGGCTAACTGACAATAGCCAGAGATGGCAGCTCACATAGGTTTACTTAACAAAAGAGACTAATGACTAACACTAAGTTATTGTCAACGGTACACCAATATGGTGGCTGTGACGTCATGTGAAAACGCTCTATACCG